TGCCCCGAGCTATTAGAGAACAAGCTTTATTTTGAAACCTCAACTATTTCATCGTTAGTGGTGTTCGTTAGAACAATTTATACTTCCATTTCTCCTCCATTACTTATTTCTTGAGAAGAGATACTGCATTCTGTACCGACATCACGGCCACTTCTAGGGGAAATATGCTGCATCCTGTAGCGTCACCTTGACTTCTTGAGTAGATATGCTGCATCCCGTAGCTATATCACCCCTACTTTTTGGGGAGATATACTGCATCCCATAGCGACGCCACTGCCACTTCTTTGAGAGAGATGGTGTATTCCATAGGGATGTCATCTCCACTTCTTTGGTAGAGATACAGCATCCTGTGGTGATCTCACCGCCACTTATTGAGAATAGATGCTGCATCCCGTAGCGACATCACCGCCACTTTTTGGGGAAATATTCTGCATCCCATAGCGATGTCACCCTTTGGGGCAGAGATGATGCATCCCGTAGCGACATCATCGCCACTTCTTGAAGAGAGATGCTGCATCCCGTATAGACGTCACCTTGACTTTTTGGGTAGAGATGCTGCCTTCCGTAGCGATTTCATCGCCACCTATTAGGAAAAGATGAAGCATCCCGTATCGATGTCACAGCCACTTCTTAGGGAGAGATGCTGCATCCCGTAGCGACGTCGCCGCCACTTTTTGGGGAAATATTCTGCTACCATAGCGATGTCACCCTTTGGGGCAGAGATGGTGCATCCCGAAGCGACATCATCGCCACTTCTTGAAGAGAGATGCTGCATCCCCCGTATAGACATCACCTTGACTTTTCGGGTAGGAATGCTGCCTTCCGTAGCGATTTCATCGCCACCTATTAGGAAGAGATGCAGAATCCCGTAGCGATATCACTACCACTTCTTAGATAGGAAGATATTCTGCATCCCGTAGCGACATCACCACCACCTTTTGAGGAGATATGCTGAATCCCAGAGCGACGTCACTGCCACTTCTTGGAGAGTGATGGTCTATCCGGTAGCGATGTCACCCCCAAGTCTTTGGTAGAGATACTGCATCCCGTAACGACATCATCGCCACTTCAAGGGGAGAGATGCTGCATCCTTGTGATCTCACCGCCACTTATTTGGGAGAGATGCTGCATCCCGTAGCGATTTCATCGCCACCTATTAGAAAGAGATGCAGCATCCCGTAGCGGTCACTGCCTTTTCTTAGGGAGAGATGCTGTATCCTATAGCGACGTAACCGCCACTTCTTGGGGAGGGATGTTTCATTCCGTAGCGACATCATCGCAAACTTCTTGAAGAGAGATGCTGCATCCTGTAGCGATGTTACTGCCACTTCTTGGGGAGAGATATTGCATCCCGTTGTGATTCCACCGCCACTTATACAGGAGAGAGGTTGAATCCCGTAGCGATGTCAGCGCCACTTCTTGGGTGGGGTACTGCATCCCGTAGCGAACTCTTCGCCACTTCTAGATGAGAGATGATGCATCCTGTATCTATGTCACCGCCACTTCTTCAAGAGAATTTATGCATTCCGTAGCGATGTCACTGCCACTTTTTGGGGAGAGATGCTGCATCCCGTAGTGACACCATTGTCACTTCTTGTGGAGAGATCATGCATTCCTCAGCGATATCGCAACCACCTCGTGGAGAGATATCCTGGATTCAGCAACGACTACACCTCCACTTGGATAGAGATCCTGCATACTGTAGCGACATCACCGCTACTTCTTGTAGAGAGATCCCGTTCAGAGCAGAGATATATATAATCATTTCTTAGTAAGATAACCTTACATCCAGCAAATAATATGCCATTCATTGACGCCGCCTTCATTTGTGAGAGGATTTTGACGAGGTTGTTTAGCATCTTCGAGCGAGAGCAACACATGGAAGGAATTTTGAATCGCTTGTTGGTCAAATTATTTTGAATTTTTAATCGATTTTGACTCCAATGAGGACCAACGCACTTTGCGAACAAAATATCCGATTAATTTTGTTGTAGAATTTTGATGTAAATTTTCCAATGCTTAGGACGATTTTTGCCGTAATTTTTTCTAGCCGTGCCAGAGAAACTTCTCCTTCGCCTCCTTTAGGACTCCTTCAGCGAGGCCAAAATGGCCCGCCTGCAAAACACAAAAAAAAAAAACAATTTTAATATTTCATTATTTTATCATATTTCAGTAATGTTCGTGTGCCATCTCATTTTAAACGACTTTTCTGGTTATTTAAAGGATTTTTTTCACATTCCTTGCAATATCGCGCTATTGTAGTGAGCACCTTGATATCTCTTTTATATGACTAGGCTACTTGTTTTATTTCTTCTTCTTTGTTTGTCCTTGAACTTCCCTTGAAGAATGACCTCAATAGAAATATCTTGTCTAAGGATGCGCCTAAATAGGTTAGCCTTTGTTTAGTCTTTACTAGCTCGTAGTTATGTAACGCAGCGATAACAGACAGAGCTACTTACTGAAGGTCCAGGTCCTCCTCGCCGGCCGCAGCCCTCTTAAAAACAGAGGAGCGCGGCACCTCCTCCCGAGGAGCAGGGCGGTCCCAGCAGTCAGGGAAACTGGAGCACAGTCAACCATTAGTCTCTTGTGATATTACCATTTACTGTATACAAGGATTTACAGTGAACAAGAGATGACAGTTTTTGAAATATTGCATTAGAAAATATTATTATTATATTTTATATCTATATTGCACACTATCCACACAACATATACAATAGTAATAACACTGGGTGAACTTACTCCCTGAGCTGCCAGGGCTCGTAGTCGACCATCCACGAAGGGGCGGCGACTCCCTCCGGGATGGTGTAGATCTGCCCGAAGTCCCTGCAACGTCAGGTTTGTCAGCAAGAGGTTAACATCAACTATGGTCTCTTCTACACTGTCTTCTTTGATATTTCTTTGTAACTATTTAGTCAATTGACTATGTCAAATAACCAGGTGTTGACATGCTGCATTTGTATTTTTCTGAATACAACCCCGCTTTTTTATAGACACTGTTGTTAATTATTTTTTGGGTACTTTCACATCTATATTAAACTGTGCTCGACTAGTGACAGAACATGATGAAAGTTATAGCATTCTGGTAGGATAAAATGATGGAACTATTGGCCGGGTTAACAACACCTGTTGGGCTAGGCCTACCCAATATTTAGTGTTTTTAGTAAAAAAAAAAATTTTGTAGAAAATATTATATATATAAATTAATCAAATGTAATTTGACTATGGAAATTCACATTGAAAATTTGGTTAATTCTCAATTTAATTTTGAACGAATTTAAGAGAGCTACATTCTGATTCAACTTTAAAGGTTCTAGCTGTTGAATCTAAATATGGCAGACACTACAGGGTACCTACCCAGCCAGCTGCTGGGGATCGTAGCGCACCATCCACGATGGCGCGGCCACGCCGTCAGGGATCGCGTAGACGACGTGGCCCGGGTCTCTGGAACACATGGGAGAAATTATGGACGCGGAGAGAGAGAAACATACAAAACCTGGTATTTTACAATTAAAAAAAATATTTTTAAAAGCTACACAATTTAAAAAAAGATATGTTCAGAATAAATATAAAATGACTTTTCAAGACTTTTCAAAAATAATTTTTTAATATAAATTGATCTAAAATAAAATAGGCCATAAATTCACACAATTAGGTGTTCGACACTTATTTTATTCGTGACTTGAAGAATCTCGCTCATAAATGTGGTTGGTATTAATAGACCGTAGCTAGGCTGTCCATCGCGCAGGCAATGGAAAAAATCCAATTTTACTCAAACCAAGTGATAAGGTTTTTTAATGTCTCCAACAAACTTCTCAAGATGAGAGTAACGTTCTTATAAAAGTTTCAAAAATAGTATAATCTAAGAGGCACTTAAGAACAAGGAGAAACTCTCCAATATAGCATATTATAAACTATTGCAGTATATTCTAGTGGTAACAACTAGGAAGAATGGCAATCTGGTGCCATAGATCCTATTAAAATAACATAAGAAGTCATGATGTTTTATCAACTCTCCAAGTTTATAAACAATTTACCACCATACCAGACAATAAAAAAGACAACCTGTATCCTGCGCCTCAATGTATGACCATCATCGGTACAGGGGAAGTTCCCATCATGACAAAGTCACCGTAACAGCTGAAACACCTCTTTGGCAGAATCTGAGGACTCCATAACTCGCCTCATTGGACCTCATGACATTGAAGCTAGCCCTATCCTACCGAGCATCATAGCCTGACAAGTAAGAGCTCTTTACTAATTATCCTAAAGTTTGAGAATTATAACCCCTTCATTAATATGTGAAAAGATAAGTGAAATTGTACTGTGTGGGATCAGGTGAATAAATTAAGAAAAGGTCATTCCTGATTATGTAACTAAAAGTTGCCATTGGCATGGCGCAAGTCATCAGAAATTTTTAGTTTTGCCTTTTTCTTTATTTATTACTATTTTTTATATGAGATATAATAAAAAGATATGAAACTAAATGCAATAATTGTCATTCTTTTATGAGCAGGTTATATTTTATAACATAATACTTTTTTTTCATAATACGTATATATTCTTTTGATGAAAACGTTATAGCCTGACCATGTGCAAATGAGACTTTTTTTTTGTTTAATGTTTTTTTTTTTTTAATCTTTTACTACCTGGCCTTATCAACTTCCATCTTTCCCTTACGCTATTAAATAGGTTGCACATATTTGGCCCCGAAGTACAACTTTCAAATGATTCCTCAAGCGAAGAGAAAACTAGTGAGTTGGATTTGTGGATTGTTTGTTTGAGATTTAATACAAATATATGAAACTAAATGTAATATTTGTCGTTCTTTTATGAGACACGTTATATTTTACACACATAATATCAACATACGTATATATTTTTATGATGAAAACGTTATAGCCATACCATGTTCAAATGAGAATTTTTTATGGTTTTTTTTTTTAACCTTTTACTACCTGATGTATGTAAATTAAGAGGTGTTAAAGACTTACCCGGTGGTCTGGAGACCCTCGTCTGGCTGCTGGACCCCGCCCGTCCAGCAGCAGCGGAACCTGTACACATCTCTGTTGGACAGGAGTTTCCTGGCTTCAATATATTGGCATTTACAATATTTATTGAGAGACATGTGATATATGATATATATATATCATATTATTCCTCTCTTATTTCAAGTACACATAGTATTTGCGCCTAGTTATGTAAATAACTTGCTAGGCTGCATTGATTTATAATCATGTAAATTTTAATTTCTTTCTTTTAAATATGTAAATATATATGTATATAAAAGGAGTGAAAGATTCAATAAAGTCAGTTAGTCAGTCAGCTAAAACGAGTGAGACGTCCTTCCTTTATTCAAACAGCTTGCTACATCGCAGTCTTGCGAAGGGACAGGATAACACTCTCGGTAGTCAATCCGCCGGTCTGGTCTCGTAAAGTACAGTCAATAACAAGCTCTGCCACATATCGTCACCTCCTAAGACCAGACTAGAGACTGAAGGAGCTAAAGGAAGTCCTGGCTAACATTGTAAGGAACCAAGCTCCAACACATAGTGTGAGCCCTGATTATAAGGAAGTACCACATGACTGCATGTGTAGTACCATGCATGGTTAGTATAAAGTTTTGACTTCGTATACTGTGAGCACACCAGGTAACTACATGTGAAGTGAATTGTGCCTTCTCGGACTGAAAGTACACCACAGGACTAGGCATGTAGTGCCAGGCCATATAGTAGGTAGAGTGTTTTGACTTATTGTACTGCAAGTACAGCATGTGTCTTACAGATGTAGGATCAGTTAGACATTTGTACATCCAAGATGGCTGACTACAATTTGTTACTTGTGAACTTGTTCGAGAATCAGAGAAACACCATTGAAGAATAATATGTTATTTAAACTAGTGTAAAAATTCAACTTCCGACCTCTTGTAAACCAATTGATCAGATCATTGCCCTCAGTTGTGGGATTACACTCGGATGGAAAGATTGGAACAGAGGAAATATTGAGCCTGTCCCTACTCTTATATCATCTTATGTTGTCTTTTATTCAAATATGTTTCTAATCTAGCGTCCCCTCCAACCTTCCAAAATTAAATTACTCTGGTGCAATCTTCTGAAATAGACAGCCGCTGATACTGAGTTACAACTCAATTGGCGACAAAACAGTTTTATCGTTAAAATTTGATAAAGTTACTTCTATAAAATATAATTGTTGCAGAACATTTCGTCTAAAGTTTTGAGAGACCAAATAAGCTGCTAAAACCTCAAAATTTTTCTCCATCAATAGCTCGAGTTATTTCACGTTTTTGAAGTCGAATTGACTTTGTAGAGACAAGTGTAGTGTACTTGCAATAAAGGCAGTCGTAAACATCAACCTACCCACCATGATTATCATGACTTGGAGTAACATGAGCATTCATTGTAAGTAAGAAACTTAAGAAATATCAACTTCTAGAACCATTAATAAATCTAACGCTGTTCTACAAAAATAATATTTGCCATAAATGAACCAATATGTTGACTTAATGTAATGCTGATTTCAACCTTACAATTAATTGTTATTATCACGCAAGGTTTCGGAGTGACAGCCACTTGAAGTTTGGGGGAAATGTACATTTTAATATACATCATCCTACAAATTAAACAAATTTATTTTTCTTTTAAAGTAGTGACAGAGAGAGAGAAGAATTCTGCTATATTTTCTTCTGATAGATCGCTCTTGAGTGTGCAGCAGTAGTCAGCAAGCATACTGAGACCTCAATCACCTTAGTGCCGCTTCTACATGCTTGACATCTTGATGAAACATCTCACCATGCTAATCGCAAACAGCATTGTCCAGTAAAAAATCCAGATGCCAATGAAGGAAATAGATTTTGGAGGAAATTTTAAGGGAATTGTGCCATCACTTTTCTTAAGATGTTCTTCAAGCTTTTCTAAAAGAGAATTTCATGCTTCTGCTTCAAAGTCATTTGAGCAATCCATCCTCCTGCATCAATACTCAAATATATGGAACAACAAATGCCTCTTTTCATTTTCGATCCATTCTTTTGCAAGATAATCTTTTATTCCAATAGGTAAACTGCTTCGACAAAGTTTTTCATTATTTCCATATTAAAATGTAATGGAACGGTTATTATATATTTTAAGACTGGGGGATGAGTGGTGTTGTGTATTTGCATACTTGGGATATTTTCAGATATGCAAATATCCTCTTTGCATACTCATTTCTGACATCATGTATAAATAGCGCTACAAGTTGTTAGCAGTCAGTCAGTCAGTCCATATTGTAGAAGTTGGTGTTCTAATAAATTCTAAGAGAATGTAGTGGCCTGGTGATGAGCAACTCACAAAGAGGCAACGCAACAAGTGGTATAAGCCGTAGATTTCCAACAGCTACGACCCGGGATCGAATCCCGAAAGTTGAGCAATTTTTTTTATTTTTCACCTCAATATTCCCAATTCTTGCAGGAATACAACTCCACCTGTGAGTAAAAATAACCAAACGGGGCCCTGACACTTGTAAGTGAAAGATTGAACTGATTTCTACATGTATAAAGATGTGGTGCACTTACTATAAAAAAAAACAGTCGCTAACTGCCCACCATGATTATCATGGCTACGTGTACTTGAGAGAGGTCAAAATAACCCGCCTAGTTGAGGTTATACAATATTTTGAAATTAGAGAGTTGGTTTCTGTGTGCGACCAGTTCTTTTGGTTGTAGTGCTTCACCCTGTCTCTATTATATCCCACAGAAGACAACAACACAATGTCAGTCCAAGCTGTGAACAAAGCAAGAGAGCAATAACTCTCAAGCCACCACAGCTGTCGCACTCTTATCTTTTCCAAAAGCAATTCCATGTTTTTGTGAATATCTTCAGTGTTGGTAGCACATACTACTAGCACTGATGGGAGCCGTTGTGAAGAGCTTGCAAACTAGCTGTTGAAGATTGAATAAATGAGCGCTGCAGTTTTTATAGTATTGTTAAGATCGCTTCCATTAGAGATCAACAGCATCTTTGCACTTTTTATCATTTTCTTTTGTAAAAAGTCTGTAAATTTATCCTGACGTTACGATAAAGTAATACTTGTGTGTCTTTGTACAACCTATTTACCAGCCTTTTATTCCAAAAATTCACTCTGTTTTTTGAATAAATGTAAATCGATTATGAGGTCACTCAAGTCTCCTTCGGTTGATAAATTCGGTTCAGCACCTGCTTTAAAGGTTATGTCATCAACTTTTTTCATAAATCATCTTCACTGAATTTCACATTTCAGGGAGGTTGCGGCACAGGTAAATCAACAGTATGAGAAACTGGTCTCATAGCCGAGAACAAATCTGGATATTTGAACGTGTGTTTTGATTTAGATGCAACACCTATTTCCCTCTCAAACAAAAATGAGTCTAAAGAATGGTATTCCCTCCATACCATTGAAACCTTTAAAGACATATGACGTTCAGGTGTATGGGATATGACTTCATAATTCACCATGTAAGGAGCTAAACACAGGTTACACAACAATGATGAGAACCAAGTCCTATCTTTGTCACCCACTTTACATCCAAAGATCCTAACTTTTTTGATGAGTGGTGTAAAATTTCACAATTGAATTTTGAAGTTAATTTCCCGCATAAATAAAAGAGAGTCTGGAATATTTATACGACACCTTGGCATATTGATAGAGTCTTGTGCTAACGATCCATAGAATCTCAATTTGATGAAGAAGAACAAGCTGACAGCTTGAAAGTTACTTCTCTATCAATACTACAATCCTATTGAACAAATTGTCATTTATGTATCAACTTGTTCAGGCAAGAACACATATGCAGCAATAATAGTTAATGTAATGATCTTTGTACAATTTTTATTTGAGTTACATTGTTTTCCGTTTCTGCAAATTCCTATACGTATGAACACACGTACAAAAGTAAGTGCTGTCTGGCAAAAATCATTGGTGATTGAAATTTTCCGATTACAATTTGAATTCAGAATGAAAAGGCTACATTAGAAACAATATCAATGTTTCTCGTGACAAAATTCTGATTATGATTATCAGTATTTGATTATATCTAATGATGAAAGTATCGATACACGTCGCTGTGTTTCAAGCTAAATATTCCGTGGACACACACTTTTAAATCTAAAAATAATTAAAACGATGACAGAGAGATAGAATAGGTGATCTAAAATCTGGAACCTAAAATTCTAACCACCTGGTTTAACCTTTAAGAAATTAATATTTATTTTTCAAATAAAAAAATATTATAGAAACCTCCTTCTGAAACCTAGTTTCCATTGAAAGTTGAATATTCTACCAATAATGTGACAGTCCTATAACACAGTTGTAGTCATATACAGGAGGTAGAATAATTTAAGGAATTTTTACTTACAGTTGCAGAATTCGCCTGCCGAGCCGTTTTGGTGAGAATCGCTTTCTGGAACATTCACAGTCCTAATTAGCGGATGAATAGCAATGATCGTTACAGTCTCATTTTAATTCTATATAAGTACACCAACATGGCCATGATACTCCTAGTACACAGGCTAGAACTACACCATGGCTTTACATTTAGAACGAAGTTCGACTTGGCATTCAAAAGTGTGCCAGAACCTCGGTTGTTTACTTGCTCTCACTGGGGGAATTAGACTTGTGAAGTATCGGTGGGGACATTGAAGCAATTTGTTGTATAAAGAACTTTTTAATCCGATTGTCGTCGGTTTTTACCGGCAGACGCCTTTGTAGTTAAATGGGATAATTAAATACGTTAATTGAGAAGGATAGATAGCTATTTGGTACCTAAAGCGTCTCTTCTGTACAATTCACCTCAACATTTTCACAAAATAACTTTTAAAACTCTGGCCTCAATATTTCCATTTAATAAATCTATCAAGCTATGCACCATTTACACCGTTATTGACAGACACCAACTACAGCCAACCTGTAACATGACTTTCTGGAGTTCCGAGTCCAAATGGAAACTGAGAAAATAAATAGTACAAAAGGATAGACTTTTAGAGGAAACATTGTTCTGGAGTAAAGGTTTGCTTTATTTTGTCAATTATGAAATGTTGATACATGGAAACACCACTCTC